TTTGTACGAACAAAAGTAAGAGAAATTTAGGAGAAGAATACGAACATGTTCTTGCATGAGGCCCATTGATCCTAAACCCAACCCCCACCCACGCAAAATCAGCCTCTGAAGTCGAGGGGACCAGAGTCCAGTCCCCATGACACGAGGCTGCATTTTCCTGAAAAATCATCCCCACCAAGTAGCAAAAACATGGGCCCTAATCATGACAGACTTCTTGATATCGAGGATCATTGTACCGTCTAAACAAATCAATAAACCGTATCGTGATAAATCTGCTGATTCAGCTCTAATCCAGACCTCATGACCACAGCTGAGGTTGGATCGTAGACGGAGCAGAAAACAACGAGCTTTGACTCTTTGAGAACTCTTCTCTCAGTAATGTTTAATTCCCTGCGACCTTCTCTCCTCCTGGTTGAAACACCTCATTATGTTTGTGTTTATGCATGTGGGCCGAACGCTGCCACCTCCTCCTAATCACACTGAAGTAGCTGAAGTGTGGCTCCATGAATGCACTTTTCTCCTTCAATTAGTTCTTAATGTTTGAAGTGTCTTTTCCTTAATCCAACCTGAGCTCTTGTTTTATGTGTAAATGTTTCTCCAGRTGCTGAAGGGCAGTAAAAAGCTTTCTCTCTCTGTGCGCTCGGTGGGGAGGATCCCCGGCGGCTACGTCACCAACCATGTTTACACGTGGGTGGACCCTCAGGGCCGCAGCGTGTCTCCGCCTCCAGACCTGCCCGAGCATCGGAGCGCCACCCTGAGGAGAACCGAGAGTCAGAGGAGGAGCAACATGCAGCTCCTGCAGGAAGGAGACGAGAAGAAGGTACGAGCAAAACAACCAACTTACCTCAGATTCTAAATTAAAAGTACTTTTATAAGTTTAAATGACACTAAATCATGTTTACACTGGTGGGAAAAAAGTCTAGTCTTTGAGCGTGTTGACAGCTTTTATCATCCTTCATCACAAAAACCAGATGAAACATGATAAATGTGTGGGTTTGTCTGTTAGCAAAATATCTCATGAATGATTTTAACACAACTCTAATCATTAAACACATGTGATTCAGTCAGCGCAGTCTGAAGATCTGTACAGTTAATCAACCTTAAACACTAAAAGTCTTTAACTCAGTCAGTTTCACAGATATTAAACTAAAATTAGCTCCAAGAAAACCTTAATTGTTCCTGCTGGCTTCGATTCCCAACAAGAGGAGGCAGAAAAACTTGACCATTTCAGTGTCATTCCAAGTGAAACRTGAAATATTTTCTGGTAGTTTTCAGTCACTGAGTAGTCTCAGAATCTGTTCTCGTTGTGAGAATTATGGGCTCAGATTCATCGGAACAAGACCTGGGCACCGGTTTGTGCTCTTCGGGCTGCGAGAACAAACTCTTTTTGTTCACAGCACCACACGTTTACGAGCCATTAATCATGACACGAACAGAAAGTAACATCTAACAGGCTGAAAGAGATGAGGTATTGATTTCTCAGCTGCTTTGTAGGTGGATTTTTAAAAATAATAAAGTAGCCTAATTATCAGAGAGTGCAGCAGTATAAATAACTGGAGACTTGGTGTGCTTTGAAGCCCACATTGTTGGTGGTTACAAAAAAAAGGGCTAATCAGTGAATGTGCTTTTACCGGTTTTGAATTCAGTTTTCTGAAGTTTGTTCCTTTCTTTTATCTGCTGGCGCCGGTCCATTTCTGTTAAACAGAGCAATCACCTGCAGGGTATTTTGAGGGGCAGAAAAATTGCTCTTCCAACCTTTCTCAACCACAAATATCAGTTTTGTGGAACAAAAGGGAAAAAAAAGCAACATTCATCTTTTGTTGATCCAAACCTTTGGATGTTCAGTGAGCTGTAGAAGCACAGGAGAGAGGGATGGATAAACAACAGCAACTACAAAAAAAGGAGACGATGAAAACTGAACCAGTCATCAGGAGCAGCGATTCTGTGTCTGAAGCTTGAGGGACACTATGRGCTTTAGTATGGTGCAGTATAAGGGCCAAAATTAAGACTATTGTGCARCYAGCGATATCTACATCCTTGTAGCAGGAAGCTATATCTGTTCTTAAACCTGCTATTGATCTGATTAATGATAGGTCGGCACCGCTGACTGAGAGGCCGGCGCTGGCAAATGAGGAGAGTATTCATTTGTGTTAGCATTGGAGAGGCTAATGACTAGCATGCGTAAGCTGGCGTTAGCGTCAGACAGGCTAGCGACTAGCATGCGTAAGCTGGCGTTAGCGTCAGACAGGCTAGCGACTAGCATGGATAAGCTGGTGTTAGCATTAGAGAGGCTAGCAACTAGCATGGATAAGCTGGTGTTAGCATTAGAGAGGCTAGCGACTAGCATGGATAAGCTGGTGTTAGCGTCAGACAGGCTAGCGACTAGCATGGATAAGCTGGTGTTAGCATTAGAGAGGCTAGCGACTAGCATGGATAAGCTGGTATTAGCATTAGAGAGGCTAGTGACTAGCATGGATAAGCTGGCTTTGGCATCAGAGAGGCTAGTGACTAGCATGGATAAGCTGGTGTTAGCATCAGAGAGGCTAGCAACTAGCATGGATAAGCTGGTGTTAGCATTGAAGAGGCTAGCGACTAGCATGGATAAGCTGGTGTTAGCATCAGAGAGGCTAGCAACTAGCATGGATAAGCTGGTGTTAGCATTGAAGAGGCTAGCGACTAGCATGGATAAGCTGGTGTTAGCATTAGAGAGGCTAGCGACTAGCATGGATAAGCTGGTATTAGCATTAGAGAGGCTAGTGACTAGCATGGATAAGCTGGCTTTGGCATCAGAGAGGCTAGTGACTACAACACTGCTACAATATAAACAATGACAAAAAGAGAGCTCTACTACGTACGCCATGCAAATAAACATTGATTTTAATACGTACAGTATTGCACAGAAAACACACTGCTTGTGCGAGTGATTCAACATGCACAAAAATATTAAGAAAGATAATTAATGGTAAAAGTTACGGAGTTAGCTTTCTAAAGCTGCGAGTAGCTGCCATCTTGAAATAGAAACTATACTATACTAGTGGAATATTACCACTGGTTCCAGTTTAAAGCTACCAATGGGAACAGGGAATTTACCACTTCCCAGGACTACTGGAATGCACCATTAGCATCGGAGTGGCTTGCGACTAGTATGAATAAGCTGGGGTTAGCATTGGAGAAGCTAGCGACTAGCATGGATAAGCTGGGAGAGGCTAGCAACTAGCAAAAACTGGCGTTGGCATTGTAGCTTATCCATGCTAGTCACTAGCCTCTCCGATGYTAATACAAATGAATAGTCTCCTTCTCATTTGCTRGCACTGGCCTCTYAGTTAGCGGTGCCAGCTGCTCCGTTAGCGGGGCCAGCCTCTCAGCGGTGCTAGCCTATCATTAATCAGATCAGTAGCTGGCTCAGGCATAGATGCAGCTTTCTGCTACAAGAATGTAGCAACTGCTGGTTGTGCAAAAGTCTTAATTTAGCCCTCATGTTGCACCGTACTTTAGGAGACRATAAAAGAAAGATCCGGTATTTAAAACCTTTCTCAGCGTCCCGTCTAAATGTCAGAACCTGAACGTCTTCATCTTCCTCCGAAGGAGTGCGTCTCTTYGGCAGCAGACAGACCAGTCTGATTAAAACTAGAGGACGTTCACTGAAAGAGTGACTCGAGTGCCTGAGAGCTTTTTAAGAGGGCGACGCTGACATCGTTTAATGGACAGATTTGCATTTGTGTCCTGTAGCCACCAGGGTGAAGCCGATCCACTCTTTCTCCTGGGCTTTCTCAGATAATGAAACACAATTTAAAGTCTGGGCCACGCTAAACCTCGTAAAACTGAATCAATCTTTCCCTTGAAATGTAACTTTTATCTGCTGAATCATACCGTAACAATTTGTGTGTACATTTGCGAACCATTAGCACTTAATGTGGTGTCATAAAAAGCCTCTTGACATTAGCTGATTACTTCATTAAGCAAGAAAAACTCTCGAGGGGGGGAAGTAAACAGCCACAGAGCCGAGGAACCCACTCTATGTGAGGACCTAAAGGCCATAAAGGGTCCCAGCCGGTGGGTTAAAATCCACACAAACCACTTTATCAGACAAATGAAGCCGTCACAGAGCCCGTAGCCTCCGAGCTAACGCTGAGCTTTTCTACATTTATTTCATAAATCAAGCCTGAAACAGGAGCAGGGTGGGCTGAATGTAAACTCTTACACACGTTAGATTGTTGCTGCTCAAGTGCTCCGATCACAGAAAGGTTCATAATTGTTTTGTTTGTTTTGAACAGGTGAACCTGGTTCTGGACGACGGGCGCTCTCTGGGTCTGATGATCAGAGGCGGAGCTGAATATGCGTTGGGGATTTACATCACCGGCGTGGACAAAGGCTCAGCAGCAGAGTGTGGAGGGCTGAAGGTAGAGCTTCAAGTTTTTATCTCATTAGTTTGCATGACGTGATCCTGAAGTTGGTTTTACTGCCCTCCAGCATGAATATTTATTTATTTTTGTCCTTAAATGTAGAACAATTTAAATTTGCTGGTTTAAAATGTGACTCCGTGGCTTTTGTTCGAATTTATTTACTGAGATGACTTCTTAGAAAATTCACAGATGGGATTTTAGTTGTGAAAAAGTGTTTATTAATTATTTTTTTGGCTCATTTTATGATTTAGCTTCYTCGCAAAAGTGAAATAACCTGCCAACAATTATTTCACCTCAGCCAAGAATTAAATCCTGGACTGTTTCTGCTTATTTCAGAGCTGCRTGTTAGCAGTTAAATGATAAAACACTCAAAAAAACAGATGTGTTGGATTTACTTAAAGAAATAACTGGTTCCACTCAACTTAATTTAATCATTTAAAGCATTTAAATGTGAAATAAATAATTTACATTCACTAAACTAAACTGAGTGGAACCGGTTTGGTATAATTGAAGTAAATCCAACACATCTGTTGTTTAAAGAAACATTTTTTGTATTTCTGGTTAGCTTCATATTTGTGTGAATGAGAATTCAGCTTCTAGTTTTTATTTTGCTTTTTTATATAAATGACTTGTAGTTTTAGTTATATTACTCATTTTAGCTCTGAATTACTGTTTTGCTGAGTTTAGCTTATAGCTGATAACCTAAAATTAGTTTAGTCATAATTTATAGAATTTTAGCTTTTAGCTATAGTTTGATGATATTAACTTGTGGCTGTTTATTTTTAAACAAAGTTGAGCTTTTTTTTAGCTGTAGTGGAGTAAATTTGACGTTTAGCTGCTGCTTTGCTGATTTTGGCTTTGAGTTACTGTTTTGCAGAGTTTAGCTTTTAGCTGATTATTCAAAATGAGTTTTTTCAGCCATAGAATTTTAGCTTCTAGCTATAGTTTGTTTAAAAAAAACAGCTACAATTAATATCGGCAAAGTTTTGCATGATTTATAACATTTTAGAGTTTGGCTATAGTTTGCTGATTTTGGCTTTTACYTGCTGCTTTRTTGATTTTAGCTTTTAGCTACTGTGCTAATTAGTTTTTAGCCACAGTTGGGATAATTTTAGGCTTCAGCTACAGTTTAAAGGAATTTTGTTTAAACGCTAAGTCAGTTTTAAGCTATTGATTTACTCATTTTACTCTTTTATATGATTWATTTGATTTAGAGTCTTTAGCTTCGGTTCATCTGATCTTTTCATTTACGTAACCATTTGTTATTGTTTTGTAAATTTACATTTTAGCTACAGTTTAGCTGGTTTTAGCTGCAGCTCTTAACTCTCACAATTTAGTATGTCTTAGTTTTTCTAATAATTTCAGTAAAGCAATCATTAAACACTTTTTCTGTTAGTAAAATCTCTTTTATTTTGCACATTTGTTGGTTATTGTCACAGTGGATTAATCAGCCGACCCCAGATTAGCTACAGGACATGRGGGATAATCTTAATCTCCTAATCTGCCTGTCAGTCATCAGTTTAGTTACAGAAGAGTCCAAAGCAGTGAGCCTTCAGGGTGTCGGAGGAACCAAAGAAACGTTATTTAACTTTAACCCAGAGCTTAAAGCCTTTTCCTGCCGACGCTCCGGTGAACAGGTGGCTCCACCTGCAGGGTTCAGGGGCCGGCCTCGTCTCCACAGGCTCAGGTGGAGGTCAGAGAGAGTCTGAGGAGCAGGAGGAGGAGGAGGAGGAGGAGGAGGAGGAGCTGTGGTTTCTGACGCAGACACAGTTACTCAGAGCGTATCGAACACCAAAACTAAAATTATTTTCACTTATCACAGGATGTGGCAGCTCGCTTTTAAAACGATTCAGCAGGTCTGCTGCATCTCCAAGGRTCTAATTAGTGGATGTAGCCCTGCAGCTACTATTAGCAGAGCGGTTTCATGCTCCTGACTCTTTGTCCTGAGCAGGACCCAGATAATTAAGAGCAGAATACTAAAACTAAACCTCTGCGTTCACTACGAATGGATTAGTCATAAAAATCTGCAGTTTTTAATCACTTTCATGTCAAACAGTGATTCTTTTTTAAGAACACGTTTGGTACTAAACCAGTTTTTATACTGAAGAACAGTTTTAGTTGTTATGTTTTAGTAAAACTCCAGACAGGACTTCGTTTGACAAACTCAGTGTTCCTCTTTTAATTTTGTGTCACACCTGCTAACATACAATCACTTAGTACTCTTCTTCATGTAAAGGTACAGGTAAAGGTGCAAACACTGCCACCAAGTGGATAAGTGTTTTAAGACTATCACCACATTAGTGTCTGTAAATCATCATGTTTGGTGTTAAACTTCCAGCAGGTAAAAAGGGCCACACAAACACCTGCTTTTAATCAGATTGGTTCACTCGTGCGTCGATGCAGATTATTATTAAAAAAGGAGCAAAAAAAAAAAAACAAACAAACAACCTAATTCTAATCATCTGATTAATTGGTCTACCTCTAATTAAAAYGAGTGTTTTTCAGGAAAAAAGTCATGAATCTTCCGTTGATTGGAAGAATAATTAAATATCGGAGAATCTTGAGGACCTTTTAAAGCAGACGCACAGGCAAATACCAAAGATTGTTTTATTTATATAAACAAGGCTGTGCTGCTTTAGAAAACTGAAAATATATTTATAAAACAAACAAATAAATAAATCAAGGCATTAACTTTCTGAAAGAAACAATACACAGTATTGTCTAGTATTGTTGTATTATATACAGTATTGTATACAGTATTGTCAGTATTGTCACAGTATTATATCTAAGTAAAAGAAGGAGACAGTAACAAGGAAGTAAAGCTTCACGAGCAGAACTTTACTAGAAAAAACACATTTTAACATGTAAGGGCACCGGCGTAATTTACACGGGGGATGGGGGGGTTATAACCCCCCCAATAATTTGATCCAGTCAATATAACCCCCCCAATAAAATTGCATCATTTAAGTA